ACCTATGATAAAAATTACAGACCTCTACATGCTTTGTAAGTAGGAAAACCTGCAAAATCGGCAGTGTATCAAACACTTGTTCTCCCCACTGTATGTATGTATATGCGTATATGTATGTATGTGTATATATATATATATATATATGCGAGAAAAAAACAAAAAGAACATATGGGGGATTGGAAGTGATGCAGACAATTACATTGATGGAAGTTACAATCTACCCCCTAAAAGAATAATGTGTACATGTAGGTATTACAGACTGGGTCAGGGAGTGGTTGAAAATGTCAGTGAAGACACTTGCTAGCTGGTCAGCGCAGGCTCCGAGTACGCGTCCTGGTCATTCGTCTGGCCCTGCGGCCTTGTGAATCTTAACCTGTTTAAAGGCTACGGAAAACATGATCACACAGTCGTCCAGAACAGCTGGTGCTCTCACGTATGGTTCAGTGTTGCTTGCCTCGAATCGAAGCATAGAAGGCATTTAGTTTGTCTGGTAGGCTCGCGTCACTGGGCAGCTCATGGCTGGGTTTCCCTTTGTAATATGTGATAGTTTGCAAGCCCTGCCACATCCGACAAGCATCAGAACTGGTGTAGTAGGATTTGATCTTAGTCCTGAATTGACGCTTTGCCTATATCATGGTTCGTCGGAGGGTGTAGCAGGATTTGTTATAAGCGTCCGGATTTGGGTCCTGCTCCTTCGAAGCGGCAGCACTAGCCTTTAGCTCAATGCGGATGTTGCCTGTATTCTATGGCTTCTGGTTGGGATATATATGTACAGTCACTGTAGGGATGACATCATCAATGCACTTATTAATGAAGCCGGTGACTGATGTGGTAAACTCTCTTGGTAAATAGTATGGTCTACTGCTTATCATGAGGTATTCTAACTCAAGCAAGCAGAACCTCGACACTTAATATTAGAGATTGCGTACTTGCTGTTGTTAACAAAGAGACACACACCACCCCCTTTGAGCTTACCCGACGCTGCCGTTCTGTTCTGCCGATGCATAGAAAAAAACCAGCTAGAATTTTATCCAGTCCTTGCTCAGCCAAGTTTCAGAGAAACATAGGATAGTCTCAAACGGAGCTTGTCCAGTTTGTTCTCCAGTGAGTGTACATTCGCGAACAGAACAGAGGGTAGGATTATTTACTCATCGCCGTAGTTTCATCAGGGCACCCGCACGTCTGCCTTTATATCGCCGTCTCTTTCTCTTCCGAGTGTCGGAGATTAGGGCCTGGTCCAGGGTGAGCAGTATGTACTATGCTGCCGACTCATTGAAGTAGAAATCTTCATCCAAATTGAGGTTAGTGATTGCTGTTCTGATGTCCAGAAGCTCTTTTCGGTCAAAGGAAACGATGGCGGAAACATAATATTTAAGATCAACGCAAAAAAACACACAAAATAGCAGAATTGGTCAGAAGCCCGTAAAACATCCACTAAACATTTCAGACCTGGGTTCAAATACATGTGTAGGTTCATGTATAACAGTATGTATTTATACTTGAAGTAGTTGTCTAAATACTTACTGAAACACAGTATTTGAACCCAGGTCTGCTAGCCATTGCTACTATTGCATGTTATATGCAGTGGTGTAAAGTACTTAAGTAAAAATACTTTAAAGTACTACTTAAGTAGTTTTTTGGGGTAGCTGTACTTTAACTATTTATATTTGAGAACTTTTACTTTTACTCAACTACATTCCTAAAGACAATAATGTACTTTTTACTACATTACATTTGGAATGATTAGCAGGATAGGAAAATGGTCCAATTCACACACTTATCAAGAGAACATCCCTGGTCATCCCTACTGCCTCTGATCTGTCAGACTCACTAAACACAAATGCCGTCTGGTTTGCTTAACATAAGGAATGTGAAATGATTTATACTTTTATTTATGATACTTAAATATATTTTAGCAATAACATTTATTTTTGAAACTTAAGTATATCTAAAACCAAATACTTTTAGACTTTTACTCAAGTAGTATTTTACTGGGTGACTTTCACTTTTACTTGAGTCATTTTCTATTAAGGTATCTTTACTTTTACTCAGGTATGACAATTGGGTACTTTTTCCACCACTGGGTATAAGGAGAAAGCGCCATGCATGTTATTACATTTGGTCAAGACAAGATGGTCATGCATGATAAGATTATGCTCTGATCCAGAAAGAGTATGGCCGCCCTACTCTTTCCCTGGTCTTGTCTATTATTTTATTGAAGATAATTGATTTCTGAGATTAGGTCTGGTGGGTCTCAAGGTAGAAGGTATTACCGAAAGCTTTTATATTTCAGCTCTCCTCCAGATTAAATGGCCTCTTCGGACAATTGTTCCATACATGGTGCTGCATGCGTTTATGAAGTCAGAACACAGTCACGCACGTATACGCTCTATAAAAAATAGGGAGTAGACGGTGGGTAGGAGTGGTGACATTCTACCGTGGATGAGGATCGATGACAGAATGTTTTCATGTATTAAACAATAGATCCATATAATGATGAATGTGGCTGGGATCATTCAAAAACATTGTTGTTATTGTTGTTGTGTAAGGATGTAGTACGATGTAGGCCTACATTTGGACATCCACTTGTTGAGCTCGAGGTGGCTGAAATCTGAGTTTTAAGAGTATTTCTTGTGGCTACCTAGCTCAAACTCTAGACGTCGAATTAAAATGAGACTGTAGAGTCCATAAAGTGACCATTGGACTTAAATTTGACGTTTACTCAATTTGACGTGCACATTTCCGTCCATTAAGAACCAACGATATGCTACCTTTTTGTAGCATTTGACAATGCTAACATCTCTTTTCAGCCGAATCTCAGAGTTCTGTCAAACCGGGCCAGCAGCTCGCTTGCTCAGCAACTCGACAACACAAACAGCTGGCTGCCTGCACCAGCCAGGCAGCAGCCAGCCATGATAAGAAGTGGTTGCGGACAAACCTAGGCTACTATAGATAGCTAGCTATATGTTGATTCTCAAGCTGAGGTTAATCAATACATGCATACAGATAATTGTCCAACATGAAAAATGGGTTGGTTGTTGTTAGTGAGCTGAATGTGGTTTTGTTTTGATTAGCTAACATTAGGTAGCCAGCTAGCCAGCAGCTGTAATGTTAGCCAACTAGCTAACATAATGTTACACCACAGATAGATTTTTTTACAAAAACAATTGTGATATCCAATTGGTAGTTATAGTCTTGTCCCATTGCTGCAACTCCCCTATGGACTTGGGAGAGGCGAAGGTCGAGAGCCATGCGTCTTCCGAAACAATACCCTGCCAAGCCGCACTGCTCGCTTATCCCGGAAGCCAGCCACACTGAGGTCAGCTTGCAGGCGCCCGGCCTGCCACAAGGAGTCGCTAGAGCGCGAAGAGACAAGGAAATCCCCACCAGCCAAACCCTCCCCTAACCCGGACGACGCTGGGCCAATTGTGGCCACCTCATGGGTCTCCCGGTCACGGCCGGCTGTGACACAGCCTTAGAGCGCTGCGCAACTCGGGAGGCCACAGATAGACTAAGTTACCAGTCAGATGAGAGCTAATGTTGGCTAGCTAGCTATATTTTATATATATAGCTAACCAACAAGCGAGGAAAGCTAGCTAGCTATATTTAGCCAAGGAAGTTTTTTTTATATATAAGGCTGAAGTCATCTGTGTAAAGAAACAAATAAGCTAGTGAACGTCCTTGCCTGATATAGACATTTAGCTAGCCAACTAGTTAGCCAGTAATAACTCAATGTTATTAATAACTTAGCTAGCTACATCCCACATTAGTCCACATAGCTAGCTAAGTAAAGTTCATAGTCAATACCAAACTTTGTCAGACAATAACTTATATCCCACCTTCTTCCACAAAGCATAGCTAACTAGCTACCTAGCTAAGTAAAGTTCATAGTCAACACCAAGCTTTGGGAAACTGCCACGCAGCTCATTTATAAAACATAATGCAATGGGCATTGCTCATCTAATGTTAGCTACTCCATACAGTCAAAATTTTGCCTTGCTTGTTAACGTTACGTGTGCAACCATTAATTTCAGCTCATAACATAACAGCTGCTAGCTAGCTATCCTCGACCAAGATCAGCCATACCTCTCAGAACACAAACAGTAGCTGATAAAATTGCCTTGCTAAGAAAAAGTTAGCTAGCTAGCACACCAGACAGAAACTTTGCTTTTCGACCATTCAAAGCAAAGTAATTTAACGTTAGCTAATGTTCCAGATCTTACCTTATGCATTAATTCAGTATGCTCCCTCCTCTCTCAATGCAATTGTCTTCTTGTCATTATAATCCACATTTGCGCTGACTGATCAATAGTGTCAAGTTACTCTTCAGTGTCTTCCCCCAAAATAATAAGAATTTTCCATCCACATAAGTAGCACTTTGTGCGAGTGCACACGTACACCCAGTTAAAACAACAACATCATTGCTTGCAAGTGCAACTGAACCTGTGTGCAGTCAAAAGAAAACGCCATGCTTGCTAACTTGGTTAGAGCTAACTCTATACATGACCTAACTGTATAAATGAGACTGTTGTCAACACATGAACTGTTTCAGACGATTTCTTTTTAACCAAGCAAGAGAAATAAACGTTCAACCAGTACTGAGTGAATGAACAACAAAAACATTGTGTAACAAAAGCTTTTCTGTCATCACCAGATTGTCCAGTTAAACAGATTGTGAAGTTGACATGTTTATAACAAGGTTCGTAGCTTAACGGTTAGCGTCACGGCCTTGGGAACTGAAGGTTTCGGCACTCGGAGGATACATTTTCAGCATTGTGTTTAGTGTATAGTTTTGACACACAGTGCTTATTTGCATTTATTAAAATAACCTTTGGGTTCATGGAGTGGCAGGCAAGTGGCAGTGAGTGTGGTGGTATGTAGCTACTACTGCGTGCGTCTTGCTAGAACGGAGGAGAGACCAGCTTTCAGACTCTCAAGGAAGAAAGAGGTCGTTGCTCTCATCCATGAGATGCACGCCATCCCTACAGTACTACCCATTTATGGCAGAGTGGCGGATTGAGGGCATGCAGCTGTCACAGAAATGCAAGCTGGCCCATGTGGAACTGACAAACGACTTATGCCTATTCAAATGTTGTTATGCTGTATTATAATGTTATATAATAATGTTGCATGATCACCTTCCGGTGTAAAAACCATGGAAATTAAAAACAAAAAACTATGTTTTAAGGTGAGAATAGATATTGGTCTGAAGCCGGAAAAAAAAAGTTAATTCAGGAGCACCACAATGCCTATTCCACCAATGCTCTACCAAGGGTTTCCAGCACATAGCTTTGACCTACTACAGTAGCTATGTTGGTATTGTACTTTAAACTATGTGTAGGCAGGTTGATTAGGATTCAAACCTTCTCAAACAGCCTAATTCAACTCTTCAGAGGGATAATGGACTTTACAGTGCCCTGCTATTAAAATGATGTATACCGGTAGGCGACTCCGGGATGCTGACCTAAGCAGAGTTGCAAAGAAAAAGCCATATCTCAGATATGTTTCTCATGTCTACACTGTATTTCTGATCAATTCTATGTTATTTTAATGGACAAAAAAAAAGTAATTTTCTTTCGAAAACAAGGACATTTCTAAGTGACCCCAAACTTTTGAACGGTAATGTATATATACAGTACCAGTCAAAAGTTTGGACACACCTACTCATTCAAGGGTTTTTCTTTATTTGTACTATTTTTTACATTGTAGAATAATAGTGAAGACATCAAAACTATGAAATAACACATATGGAATCATGTAGTAACCAAAAAAGTGTTAAACAAATCAAAATATATTTTATATTTGAGATTCTTCAAATAGCCACCCTTTGCCTTGATGACAGCTTATATGTATTTTTAGATATACTGTATTTTTAGATATACTGTAGGCCTATTGTAAATGTGTATTATTATTGCGTCACCATCTTTATTGCAGTACAAACATAACTTTAAACTACACATTATTTTGACAGAGGTAATGAACTGTCCATTGATCAGAAAAGCAATTGATAAAACAGGACCATGTTTGAAACACAAGTGGTTCTGACCTTAATTCAATATTACACAGGTAAGATAACAGTTACAGAAATCAGGAATGCAGACAGGCTCTATCTATCTGAGCTACTGTGTCCAACACACCACCACCTGTTGTTATGTTGTGCACCTACTGACCAAAAAAAGGATGTTATTATGATTATTATGTATTGCTAAAATAAAGGTTAAAGGAAACACAGGCATGCACCACATTACTACAAGACAAAACAGCTCAATCAAGCCTGATGGTCTTTTAAGAATAAAAGCAAAGTTTGCTTTCAGTTAAAAAAAAATAATAAATGAAAATATAGTGTAATGGGTGTAATATTCATGTGTGTCAGCATACTGAATTGTAATTGGGTGCGTTCTACCATCGTATCATACTGCGTTATGATTGGTTAAGACCACCCAGGTGGTGAGGTCATCTTCAAGATGATCATGGCCGGAGACACATGAACATGCCAGTTATAGCTAGCTAATAAAGAGTTACGTTTATAAAGATCCTGTCGTCCTGCATTTTATTATTTTATATAAAGCATACAAAACAAGACAATGGGATAATGTCTTACTGTGGTGTGTGAAGAATGGCCCTCATGTGAATTTCCTTTCTTTTTCGGCTTCAGACCAATGCCTATTCTCACTTAAAACATTTTTTTTTTTTGTATAAGCCTATGCCGTTTGTATGCTCATGGATTTCAAATGTGGTTTGGTATAATATATATATACACTGCTCAAAAAAATAAAGGGAACACTAAAATAACACATCCTAGATCTGAATGAATGAAATAATCTTATTAAATACTTTTTTCTTTACATAGTTGAATGTGCTGACAACAAAATCACAAAAAAAAATTATCAATGGAAATCAAATGTATCAACCCCATGGAGGTCTGCATTTGGAGTCACACTCAAAATTAAAGTGGAGAACCACACTACAGGCTGATCCAACTTTAATGTAATGTCCTTAAAACAAGTCAAAATGAGGCTCAGTAGTGTGTGTGGCCTCCACGTGCCTGTATGACCTCCCTACAACGCCTGGGCATGCTCCTGATGAGGTGGCGGATGGTCTCCTGAGGGATCTCCTCCCAGACCTGGACTAAAGCATCCGCCAACTCCTGGACAGTCTGTGGTGCAACGTGGCGTTGGTGGATGGAGCGAGACATGATGTCCCAGATGTGCTCAATTGGATTCAGGTCTGGGGAACGGGCAGGGCCAGTCCATAGCATCAATGCCTTCCTCTTGCAGGAACTGCTGACACACTCCAGCCACATGAGGTCTAGCATTGTCTTGCATTAGGAGGAACCCAGGGCCAACCGCACCAGCATATGGTCTCACAAGGGTTCTGAGGATCTCATCTCGGTACCTAATGGCAGTCAGGCTACCTCTGGCGAGCACATGGAGGGCTGTGCGGCCCCCCAAAGAAATACCACCCCACACCATGACTGACCCACCGCCAAACCGGTCATGCTGGAGGATGTTGCAGGCAGCAAAACGTTCTCCACGGCGTCTCCAGAGTCTGTCACATGCTCAGTGTGAACCTGCTTTCATCTGTGAAGAGCACAGGGCGCCAGTGGCGAATTTGCCAATCTTGGTGTTCTCTGGCAAATGCCAAACGTCCTGCACGGTGTTGGGCTGTAAGCACAACCCCCACCTGTGGACGTCGGGCCCTCATACCACCCTCATGGAGTCCGTTTGAGCAGACACATGCACATTTGTGGCCTGCTGGAGGTCATTTTGCAGGGCTCTGGCAGTGCTCCTCCTGCTCCTCCTTGCACAAAGGCGGAGGTAGCGGTCCTGCTGCTGCGTTGTCGCCCTCCTACGGCCTCCTCCATGTCTCCTGATGTACTGGCCTGTCTCCTGGTAGTGCCTCCATGCTCTGGACACTACGCTGACAGACACAGCAAACCGTCTTGCCACAGCTCGCATTGATGTGTCATCCTGGATGAGCTGCACTACCTGAGCCACTTGTGCACCGCCAGCATTCAAAAGTGACCAAAACATCAGCCAGGAAGCATAGGAACTGAGAAGTGGTCTGTGGTCACCACCTGCAGAACCACTCCTTTATTGGGGGTGTCTTGCTAATTGCCTATAATTTCCACCTGTTGTCTATTCCATTTGCACAACAGCATGTGAAATGTATTGTCAATCAGTGTTGCTTCCTAAGTGGACAGTTTGATTTCACAGAAGTGTGATTGACTTGGAGTTACATTGTGTTGTTTAAGTGTTCCCTTTATTTTTTTGAGCAGTGTATATATAATATAGAAATATATTTCCACCTACCTGTGTTGCAGTAATAAGAAGCTGCGCAATCTGCCCAACTACTTCATCGTGAACCAGGCGGTGAGCGACTTCCTCATGGCTTTCACACAGTCGCCAATCTTCTTCATTAACTGTCTCTATAAAGAGTGGATTTTTGGCGAATACGGTAAGTCATCCACCCTTTCTCTCCTTTGTCACCACACCATCTCAAACGTTTGGTTTTCATATAGTTCAAGTGCAAAATTTACCATAAACCGCATTATAATCTAGTGGCATGATTTAATTAGAAACTTTTCTTCAACAATGTGCGCTATAAAGAGGCTACTGTTTACGTATTGCTCAGTTTCCTAAACTCTAGTTAGATAATAGTCTCCTAATAATGCACATTGTTGAAAAATAATTCAAATTAAATCTTACTGCGAGATTATAATGAGGTTTATGGTATTTTTTTGCACAATTTTTTTTGCACTACGTAAATGTTGGCCATTGTGTTCAACCACCATGGTGGACGGTGAAAGGGAACACCCCAAGAGTAACACAAAACATTATTTGTTGCTATTTGTTCATGTTGACTATTGATAATTGATACTTTTCTAGTCTCCTTTTCTAGCGACGGTTACAATCTGAATCTCTGAACAGGCATTGTTGGTTTTGACCTGCATTTGAACTGTGTGTCTGCAGGATGTAAAATGTATGCCTTCTGTGGGGCTCTCTTTGGCATCACCTCCATGATCAACCTGTTGGCTATCTCAATTGACCGCTACCTGGTCATCACCCAGCCACTCAAGGCCCTCGGCCGGTCGTCAAGGCGTCGGACCACCCTGGCAATACTAATGGTGTGGCTCTACTCTTTTGCCTGGAGTTTTGCCCCACTTGTTGGCTGGAGTAAGTCCTTTCACCAACAACTCAACAAATTCACATCCTCAAATGTTAAGAAGTAAATGTAAAAATGGTTGGTTGCCGGTTCGAACCCAAGGGCTGATAGGGTCGCTGGCATCAATATTTCTGCTGTTGTGCCCTGGAGCAAGATATTTAACCATTAAAATGCTTCATGGGCTGTGTTGCGCCCAGCCAATTAAATTAAACATCTATTATATCCTATCCTATTAGATCATATCCTATCCTATTCTATCCTATCCTATCCTATCCTATTAGATCCTATCCTATCCTATTAGATCCTATCCTATCCTATTAGATCCTATCCTATCCTATTATATCCTATCCTATTCTATTCAACACATCCAGTACCTGCCAGGATTTTCACTGTAGTGTGTATATATATTTTTTTGATTGGCTCTTACAGGCTCCTATATCCCAGAGGGCCTCATGACTTCCTGCACTTGGGATTATGTGACATACACATACGCCAACCAGAGCTACACCATGATGCTGTGTTGTTTTACCTTCTTCATCCCGCTGGGAGTCATCTTCTACTGCTACCTCTTCATGTTCCTGGCCATCCGCACTGCCAGCAGGTGGGACTACTATGCCAGTTTCTTAGGTGGCATAATAATAATCGTAATAATCATATTATAATCATCATATTATTAACTGAGAGGCCACACTCTCTCAGGCTGGGACACCTACATCCACCCCAGACCCTAAGCCTAAGCCTAAGCCTAAGCCTAACCATGAACCTGTCCCTAACCTTAGCCATGCTCTGTGACTTTTAACTCATACTAATACGTCAGCTTACAGGTATGTGACATATAACTCCATTGGTTACATGTCACTATTTTGACATGTACTGTATGTCCCTAACCCTGGCCATGCTTTGTGACATATAACGAATATGTAATTAAATAAGTAATTAACACAACTAATATGTCAACTTATGTGACATACAGTGGGGAAAAAAAGTATTTAGTCAGCCACCAATTGTGCAAGTTCTCCCACTTAAAAAGATGAGAGAGGCCTGTAATTTTCATCATAGGTACACGTCAACTATGACAGACAAAATGAGAAAAGAAAATTCAGAAAATCACATTGTAGGATTTTTTATGAATTTATTTGCAAATTATGGTGGAAAATAAGTATTTGGTCACCTACAAACAAGCAAGATTTCTGGCTCTCACAGACCTGTAATTTCTTCTTTAAGAGGCTCCTCTGTCCTCCACTCGTTACCTGTATTAATGGCACCTGTTTGAACTTGTTATCAGTATAAAAGACACCTGTCCACAACCTCAAACAGTCACACTCCAAACTCCACTATGGCCAAGACCAAAGAGCTGTCAAAGGACACCAGAAACAAAATTGTAGACCTGCACCAGGCTGGGAAGACTGAATCTGCAATAGGTAAGCAGCTTGGTTTGAAGAAATCAACTGTGGGAGCAATTATTAGGAAATGGAAGACATACAAGACCACTGATCATCTCCCTCGATCTGGGGCTCCACGCAAGATCTCACCCTGTGGGGTCAAAATGATCACAAACGGAGCAAAAAATCCCAGAACCACACGGGGGGACCTAGTGAATGACCTGCAGAGAGCTGGGACCAAAGTAACAAAGCCTACCATCAGTAACACACTACGCCGCCAGGGACTCAAATCCTGCAGTGGCCAGACGTGTCCCCCTGCTTAAGCCAGTACATGTCCAGGCCCGTCTGAAGTTTGCTAGAGTGCATTTGGATGATCCAGAAGAGGATTGGGAGAATGTCATATGGTCAGATGAAACCAAAATATAACTTTTTGGTAAAAACTCAACTCGTCGTGTTTGGAGGACAAAGAATGCTGAGTTGCATCCAAAGAACACCATACCTACTGTGAAGCATGGGGGTGGAAACATCATGCTTTGGGGCTGTTCTTCTGCAAAGGGACCAGGACGACTGATCCGTGTAAAGGAAAGAATGAATGGGGCCATGTATCGTGAGATTTTGAGTGAAAACCTCCTTCCATCAGCAAGGGCATTGAAGATGAAACGTGGCTGGGTCTTTCAGCATGACAATGATCCCAAACATACCACCTTTCAAGGTCCTGGAGTGGCCTAGCCAGTCTCCAGATCTCAACCCCATAGAAAATCTTTGGAGGGAGTTGAAAGTCCGTGTTGCCCAGTGACAGCCCCAAAACATCACTGCTCTAGAGGAGATCTGCATGGAGGAATGGGCCAAAATACCAGCAACAGTGTGTGAAAACCTTGTGAAGACTTACAGAAAACGTTTGACCTGTGTCATTGCCAACAAAGGGTATATAACAAAGTATTGAGAAACTTTTGTTATTGACCAAATACTTATTTTCCACCATAATTTGCAAATAAATTCATTAAAAATCCTACAATGTGATTTTCTGGAAAAAAGATTCTCATTTTGTCTGTCATAGTTGACGTGTACCTATGATGAAAATTACAGGCCTCTCTCATTTTTTTAAGTGGGAGAACTGGCACAATTGGTGGCTGACTAAATACTTTTTCCCCCCACTGTATACTGTAACTACAAGATGTCATAATTACTGTGTAAATCTATGGAAGGGGATGAGAACCATGAGCCTCCTAGGTTTTGTATTGAAGTCAATGTACCCAGAGGAGGACGGAAGCTAGCCGTCCTCCGGCTACACCATGGCGCTACCTTACAGAGTGCTTTTGAGGCTGCTGTAGACCTTCATTGCAAAACAGTGTGTTTTAATCAATTATTTGGTGACGTGAATATCTTTGGTACAGTTTTATCTAAAAAGTATAACTTTTTAAATGTTTCACAATTTTTATAAAATTCACTAAGGAGGATGGTCCTCCCCTTCCTCCTCTGAGGAGCCTCCACGGCTCCACACCCAGGAGGGTTGTTCCAGGTCTCCCCACATGAAAAAAGTAGTATTCACTGTAGTGTTTTTGCTGACTTTACTGAATTATTTACTGTAGTGTTGTTGCTGACTTTACTGTAGTTTTCACTGCAGTATTTTTGCTGACTTTACCGTAGTATTCAATGTAGTGTTTTTTCTGACTTTACTGTAGTATATACAGTTTACTATAGTATTAATAGTGTAGTTAAAAACACTGTAGTATATACTGGAGTATTTACTGTAGTGTTTTTGTTTTATTATCTTTGACATATAATTGGGGTCTTTCTCCTTGAGGAAACCTTCATTTACATTTACATTTTAGTCATTTAGCAGATGCTCTTATCCAGAGCGACTTACAGTTAGTGCATTTGTCTTAAGATAGCTAGGTGGGACAACCACATAACTCGAGGTGAGGAGGGGGATTATTTAAGATACTCTTTGAAGAGGTAGGGTTTCAGGTGCTTTCAGAAGATGGGCAGGGACTTTACTGTCCTAGCTTCAGGGGGAAGCTGGTTCCACCATTTGGTTGCCAGGAAAGTGAAGAGCTTGGACTGGACTGAGCGGGAGCTGCCCTCCCATAGGGGTGGGAGTGCCAAGAGACCAGGGGTGGCAGAGCGGAGTGCTTGGGTTGGGGTGTAGCCTGAAGGTAGGGAGGGGCAGTTCCACTTGCTGCTCTGTAGGCAAGCACCATGGTCTTGTAGTGGATGCGAGCTTCGACTGGAAGCCAGTGGTGTGGAGGAGCTTGGTGACATGGGAGAACTTGGGAAGGTTGAAAACCAGGCGGACTGCAGCGTTCTGGATAAGTTGCAGGGGTTTCATGGCACAAGCGGGGAGCCCAGCCAACAGCGAGTTGCAGTAGTCCAGACAGGAGATGACAAGTGCCTGGATTAGGACCTGCGCCGTTTCCTGTGTGAGGTAGGGTCGTACTCTACGGTTGTTGTAGAGCATGAACCTGCAGGAGCGAGTCACTGCTTTGATGTTTGCAGAGAACTACAGGGTGTTGTCCAGGGTCACGTCAAGTTTCTTTGCACTCTGGGAGGGCGACACTGTGGAGTTGTCAATCGTGATGGAGAGGTCTTTGAGCGGGCAGGCCTTCCCCAGGAGGAAGAGCAGCTCCGTCTTGTCAAGGTTGAGCTTGAGGTGGTGGGCCAACATCCAAGCTGAGATATCTGCCAGGCATGCAGAGATGCGTGTCGACACCTGGGTGTCAGAAAGGGGGAAGGAGAAAAGTAATTGAGTGTCATCCACATAGCAATGATAGTAGATACCATGTGAGGATATGACAGAACCGAGTGACTTGGTGTATAGAGAGAAGAGGAGAGGGCCTAGAACCGAGCCCTGGAGGACACCAGTAGTGAGAGTACGTGGTGCAGACAAAGATCCTTGCCACGTCACCTGGTAGGAGTGGCCTGCCAGGTAGGATGCAATCCAAGAGTGTGCAGAGCCTGAGACGCCCATCCCTGAGAGGGTAGAAAGGAGGATCTGATGGTTCACGGTGTCGAAGGCAGAGGATAGATCTAGGAAGATGAGAACAGAGGAGAGAGAGTTGGAGAGCCTCCATGAGTCTTGGCTGAGTGAACTGTTTTGAAGCCTGACTGGTTAGGGAAGATTGTTCTGAGAGAGATAACGAGAGAGTTGATCAGAGACAGCACACTCAAGTGTTTTGGAAAGAAAAGAAAGAAGGGAAACAGTTTTTGATGTCAGATGAGTCTAGTGTTGGTTTCTTGAGGAGGGGAGCAACTCAGGCCATTTTGAAGTCAGAGCGGACGCAGCTAGTGATCAGGGATGAGTTGATGAGGGAAATGAGGAATGGGAGAAGGTCTCCAGAGATGGTCTGGAGAAGGGAGGAGGGGATGGGGTCGAGCGGGCAGGTTGTCGGGCGGCCAGACCTCACAAGTCACAGGATTTCATCTGGAGAGAGAGGGGAGAAGGAGGTCAAGACGTAGGGTAGTTCGATGTGAGTGAGACCAGTGGACTCAATAGGCTGAGTAAATGAGGAGTGGATGTCGTCGACCTTCTTTTCAAAGTGGTTGACAAAATCATCCGCAGAGAGGGAGGAGGGATGGGGTGGAGGATTAAGGAGGGAGAAGAAGGTGGAAAATAGTTTCCTAGGGTTAGAGGCGGAAGTTTGAAATGTATAGTGATAGATAGTGGCTTTGGCAGCAGATACAGAGGAAGAGAAGGTAGAGAGGAGGGAGTGAAAGGAAGATAGGTCCTCCGGAACCTTAGTTTTCCTCCATTGTTGCTCAGCTGCCCGCAGCCCTGTTCTTTAAGCTCGCAATGAGTCACTCAGACACGGAGGGGAGGGTCGAGCCGGCCGGGAGGAAAGGGGACAGTGCAACTCATAGGATGCAGAAAGGGAGAAGATTAGGGCCGAAGAGGCAGAATTAGGAGACAGGAGGGAGAAGGATTTAGCAGAAGGGAGAGATGATATGATAGAAAAGGGGAGAGTAGTGAGAGAGGGAGCGAAGATTGCGATGGCGCATGACCATCTGGGTAGGGGATGAGTGGCTAGGGTTGGAGGAAAGGGAGAAAGTAAAGGAAACAAAGTAGTGATCAGAGACTTGGAGTGGGATTATTAGATGAGGTCAAATGTATTGCCTGCCTTGTGAGTTGGAGGGGATTGGGAAAGGGTGAGGTCAAAAAAGGCAAGGAGGTGAAAGAGAGAGTTGGAAAGAAATGAATCGAAGGCAGACGTCGGGAGGTTGAAACCCGGAATTCCACATGGGTTGTGCGTGCAGGGTAGACTAAATTAGAAGGGTTGCAGCCAGGGGTGGGGAGCGTCTGTAAAGCCTCCAGGGAGAGGAGCCAACAGGTATAGAAAACACACACATAGTTGCCAAAGCTACAAAAGAGCAAAATGAGATCAGAAAATAACTAGGTACTAGGTCATTGTAGGCTGTTTTCATGTTATCCAGAGGTAAACAATTAACCATAATCCCAATTTTGTTCCCAATTTTGTGTTTGGAAGTAGCTAGCAAGCTAGCCAATGTTAGCCAGTTAGCTTGGGTGCTTGACTGCCGTTGTGAGGTCAGAACGCTTGGATCAACCCTACTCATCGGCCAGAGCGTCAAGTGTGCGCTCTGAACGCTCCGAGAGCGAAACGAGATGGGTGGGGCTAAAGCTTAAGAGGGTGTGAACGATGCTGAATGGGTGTAGACAAAGAAGAGCTCTTCAGTAGATACCAAAATATTCAAAGGCCATTTTCTCAAAAGTGAGATTACAAGTTTATCAACTTTCAAAGCAGAATTACTTTCCCATTGTTCCCTTAAATGCAGTGTATGATATACCATTTTGTAGCTCTGTGTCTGCTTTTATCCAATGTAAAAAACACAATTTCAAATTTTCAGAAGTTCTGCTCTTTCTGTAACCAGGTAGGGAACACAATATATGATATATACTTGGCATGTAGGTTTCTCACTTATGGGTGGCTCAAATTGGGATATGGTGAGGGGAACGGGCAGGGTATATACAAATTAAATACTTGTACTATTGCTATCGTTAAAAAACTGTAGGAAAAAACTGTAGTGTTTTTGTGGACGTTACTATAGTATTTATAACAGTGTTTTTTTTGCGGATAATACTATAGTATTTACCATAGTATTTTACAGTATACTACAACCAGTGGTGGCTGGTGGGAAGAGCTATAGGAGGATCAGCTCATTGTAATGGCTGGAATGGAATCAATGGAACAGTATCAAACACATTGAACATATGGAAACCACGTTTGACTCCGTTCCATTTATTATATTCAGCCAAAACAATGAGCCCGTCCTCCTATAGCTCCTCCCACCAGCCTCCACTGACTGCAACATTCTATAGTAAGTACTACACATGATCGAAGGATACTACAGCGTGTAGTATATTATTCTAATGTTTACTACATAATTCTATAGTAAGTACTGTAGTATTCTATAGTAAACTGTAGTATTTTTTTCATGTGGGTTGTCCTTTGTGTCATTGTTTCCACCTAACAGACAGGCCCCTCTGTATGTGCCTGCAGGGAAGTAGAGAACCTGGGGACACAAGTGAGGAAATCCACCCTGATCCAGCAGAAGAGCATCAAGAATGAGTGGAAGCTGGCCAAAATCGCCTTTGTGGTCATTGTTGTGTATGTGCTGTCCTGGTCGCCGTATGCCACCGTCACCATGATCTCCTGGGCAGGGTAAACATATCAAATATATACAAAAGCTTGGGTAACATATCTACAATGGCTTTATATGTTTATTTTTGACGTCATCCAATGAGACCATGTAGCAATGTCCACGGTTTCCAAGATACTAGTGTAGCCTCTGCTGGATGTTTATTGTTTATGTTTGTATTTCTAGAGCTACTGGATGTACAGTGTGTGAGCATGTTTGTCTTGCTTTGCCTTTTTGATGTACATGCATTGAGTGATATTTTCACAAGCTTTACATTCAGATCATACTGAGGTATTCTGCACTTTTCAAGATTAGATTTACCACCAATCTTGGCATTTCTGTTCTTGTTTCCAAAATGTAGGGGATTTTTTTTGGGTTTTCTGAAAGAATATGTCAAATCCCAGTATGAATTCCGGCCCCACCGCTCCCTCTCTCTCTCTCTGTCGCCTCTCTCATTTGAAATATATCTCTGTCCCCCCAAAAAAGTTATAATACCCCCCCCAAAAATATATACAGTGCCTTCGGAAAGTATTCAGACCCCTTGACTTTTTCCACATTTTGTTACGTTACAGCCTTATTTTAAAATTGATTAAATTGTTTTTTTCCCCCCCTCATCAATCTACACGCAATGCACCATAATGACAAAGCAAAAACAGGTTTTTAGAAATGTTTGCTAATATATTACAAATAAAAAACCGAAATATCACATTTACATAAGTATTCAGACCGTTTACTCACTACTTTGTTTAAGCACCTTTGGCAGCGATTACAGCCTTGAGTCTTCTTGGGTATGACGCTACAAGCTTGGCACACCTGTATGGAGTTTCTCCCATTCTTCCCTGCAGATCCTCTCAAGCTCTGTCAGCTGTACAGCTATTTTCAGGTCTCTCCAGAGATGTTCGATCGGGTTCAAGTCTGGGCTCTGGCTGGGCCACTCAAAAACATTCAGAGACTTGTCTCGAAGCCACTCCTGCGTTTTCTTGGCTGTGTGCTTAGGGTCGTTGTCCTGTTGGAAGGTGAACCTTCGCCCCCAGTCTGAGGTGCTGAGCGCTCTGGAGCAGGTTTTCATCAAGGATCTCTCTGTACTTTGCTCCGTTCATCTTCCCCTCGATCCTGACTAGTCTCCCAGTCCCTGCTGCTGAAAAACATCCTCACAGAATGATGCTGCCACCACCATGCTTCACCGTAGGGATGGTGCCAGGTTTCCTCCAGACGTGACGCTTGGCATTCAGGCCAAAGAGTTCAATCTTGGTTTCATCAGACCAGAGAATCTTGTTTCTCATGATCTGAGAGTCTTTAGGTGCCTTTTGGCAAACTCCAAGCGGGCTGTCATGTGCCTTTTACTGAGGAGTGGCTTCCGTCTGGCCACTCTACCATAAAGGCCTAATTGGTGGAGTGCTGCAGAGATGGTTGTCCTTCTGGAAGGTTCTCCCATCTCCACAGAAGAACTCTAGAGCTCTGTCTGAGTGACCATCGGGTTATTGGTCACCTCCATGACCAACGCCCTTCTCCCCCGATTGCTTAGTTTGGCCGGGCAGCCAGCTCTAGTAAGAGACTTGGTGGTTCCAAACTTCTTCCGTTTAAGACTGATGGAGGCCATTGTGTTCTTGGGGACCTTCAATGCTGCAGAAATGTTTTGCTACCCTTCCCCAGATCTGTGCCTCGACACAATCCTGTCTCGGAGCGCTACGGACAATTCCTTCGACCTCATGGCTTGTTTTCTGCTCTGACATGCACTGTCATCTGTGGGACCTTATATAGACAGGTGTGTGCCTTTCCAAATCATGTCCAATCAATTGAATCTACCACAGGTGGACTCCAATCAAGTTGAAGAAACATCTCAAGGATGATCAACGGAAACAGGATGCAACTGAGCTCAATTTCATGTCTCATAGCAAAGGGTGTGAATATGTACATAAGGTATTTCAGTTTTTTTATTTTTAATACATTTGCAAAAAATTATATGAACCTGTTTTCCCATTGTCATCATTGGGTATTGTGTGTAGATTGCTGAATAAAAAAAAATATTGAATCAATTTTAGAATAAGGCTGTAACGTGGAAAAAGTCAAGGGGTCTGAATACTTTCCGAAGGTACTGCATACACTACCGGTCAAAAGTTTTAGAAGACCAACTCATTCAAGGGTTTTTCTTTATTTTGACTATTTTCTACATTGTAGATTAATAGTGAAGACATCAAAACTATGAAATAACTCATATGGAATCATGTAGTAACCAAAAAAGTGTTAAACAAATCAAAATATATTTTAGAAAATAATACTCTTGGCATTCTCTCAACCAGCTTCATGAGGTAGTCACCTGGAATGCATTTCAATTAACAGGTGTGCCTTGTTAAAAGTTAATTTGTGGAATTTCTTTCCTTCTTAATGCGTTTGAGCCAATCAGTTGTGTTGTGACAAGGTAGGGGGGTTATACAGAACATAGCCCTATTTGGTAAAAGACCAAGTCCGTATTATGGCAAGTACAGCTCAAATAAGCAAAGAGAAACGACAGTTCATCATTACTTTAAGACATGAAGGTCAGTCAAAACTGAACATTTCAAGAACTTTGAAAGTTTCTTCAAGTGCAGTCGCAAAAACCATCAAGCTCTATGATGAAACTGGCTCTCATGAGGACCGCCACAGGAATGGAAGACCCAGAGTTACCTCTGCTGCAGAGGATAAGTTCATTAGTGTTACCAGTCTCAGAAAATGCTGCCCAAATAAATGCTTCACAGAGTTCAAGTAACAGACACATCTCAACATCAACTGTTGAGAGGAGATTGTGTGAATCAAGCCTTCATGGTCGAATTGCTGCAAAGAAACCACTACTAAAGGACACAAATAATAAGAAGAGACTTGCTTGGGCCAAGAAACAAGAGCAATGGACATTATACCGGTGGAAATGTGTCCTTTGTGAGATGCGGTGTGGGTGAACGGATGATCTCCGCATGTGTATTTTCCACTGTAGAGCATGGAGGAGGAGGTGGTATGGTGTGGGGGTGCTTTGCTGGTGACACTGTCTGTGATTTATTTAGAATTCAAGGCACATTTAACCAGCATGGCTACCACAGCATTCTGCAGCGATACGCCATCCCATCTGGTTTCCTCCACAGAGTGAAGGAAAAGCAGCCAACAAGTGCTCAGCATATTTGGGAACTCCTTCAAGACTGTTGGAAAGCATTCCAGGTGAAGCTGGTTGAGCGAATGCCAAGAGTGTGCAATGCTATCATCAAGGCAAAGGGTGGCTATTTGAAAAAAAAAAACTTGAATGAGTAGATGTTCTAAAACTTTTGACCGGTAGTGTATATATAAAAATGATAGATTCAAATGAATAAATTCAACAATGTGTTTTTCCCATTACTACTGAGACAGAGGCTTCCTTATATAACATTTACATATTTCTCTCCATCTGTACTGGAAAGTACATAAACCCTGGTCCAGCTGTTGATAGATGTTTTGGATAATCCCAACCATTACACTGCCTTCGTTACTGGATAATGGAGTAATGGAGAGATTACTTACTTCTCTTCTGTCTTTACAGACACGCCAACATTCTGTCGCCGTACTCCAAAGCCGTACCGGCAGTTATAGCAAAAGCCTCTACCATCTACAACCCTTTTATTTATGCCATTATACACACTAAGTACAGGTAAATTACTGTGTGTTATGTCAATCCAATGAATGAATAAATTAACAAACAAACTAATGACTGAATTAATGAATTAATGAATGGATGTTTTATCAACCCTGACTAGGAAAATTCACATTCCTCTGTGCTATTTACTGTATATAAAAAATAAAAAAAACGTTTTTGAAATGTTTTTTTTGTCCTCCATGTCATCTACAGGGCCACGTTGGCGGAGAAGGTACCTTGTTTGAGATGTCTGTCACCGAGAAAGGACAAAAAGGACTTCAATAGCGAGTCTTCCTTCCGAGATTCCACCATCAGCAGGCAGTCGTCTGTCTCAAGGACCCATTTCTGCGCCGCTTCCTCCATCTCCTCCAGTATGGTAAGGTGTAGGGTGAAGCTGGGTCAGTTGTGTATTCCCCTGCTAATGGTTAAGGTTATGATTGGGGGGAGGGGAAGCTGATCCTAGATTTGTACCTAGCGGAAACTTCACCCTGGACCTATAGTAAGATCAATGGCGTAGATTTGACTTTAGGTCAACATTATCCCTATGGCAGAACTTCACTGTAAAACTACTGACATTAAACAACCATATGAGACAGACATGATAGTTTTAAATATATTTTGAAGCTCTACATTGTTACAAACAAATGCTCAAATGGAACCAAAAAAACATAAACAATGGGGTAATTTAACTTTATTCCAAAACACAGGGTCAATATTTAAACACTGCAGTTCAGGGAGGGACGACACCAGTGGATGTCACGACTTCCGCCGAGGCTGCCTCCCCTCCTTGTTCGGGCAGGTTTCGGCGTTCGGCGTCACCGGCTTACTAGCTACTGCCGATCCATTTATCATCACTCCATTTGTCTTGTCTTCAATCACACACACCTGGTCCTTATTCCCTCATTAGTCATGGTATAAGTGTTCCCTCTGCTTCCTTGTCTGTGTGGGTGATTGTTTATTGTGGAGGTTAGTGAAGCTCGGTGGAGCTCGTGTATTGTGTATCGACGGGAGTATTTTTCCCGTGTGCCTTGTATTTTCCAGGGCGCCTGTTTTGTGCCCTGGAGTGTGTTTGACGCATTTCTGTGTTAACCTGTATTTTGAGGATTAAAGCCTGTTATTCTGTGATTTAACCTCCTGCGCCTGACTCCTTCATCACCACCTCATCACAGTGGAGGCTGCTGAGGGGAGGACGGCTCATAATAATGTCTGGAACAGAGCAAATGGAATGCCATCAAACACATGGAAACCATGGAAACCATGTGTTTGATGTATTTGATACCATTCCACTGATTCCGCTCCAGCCATTACCACGAGCCCGTTACCACGAGCCCGTCCTCCCCAATTAAGGTGCCACTGACGACCTGTGGAGGACACTGTTTATTACCAACACATTAGAGTGGGAGGTTTCTGTTGCTGTAGGTGAAACAAATTAAATGTTGTCTAATATGAGCACTGAGCCTAGACAAGGTGTTGTGCCATGTGGGTATTTTCTTGGCTCGACCCTGCTGCTACCATCACAGGCATCTCAGAAGAATCCTCTTTGCTTTTTGAAGATTATGGCTCCCTCAGGTTTTTCTTGTCGGGAAGCGAAAGTTGAACTAAATCCATATATGGTTCCTAACCACAGGTGTTTGGAGATGTGGAGCTGGATTCTCCAGAGCGGAACGACTCCTCCTTCAGAAGCACCTCGTCCTTTAAGATGCCCAAAGACAAACGTTGCAAGACCAAGATTATTTGTGCTGCACAGAAGGTGAGAAAAGAGATACTTTGTCACATGGTTTACCTTTTTATTTGCCATTGGTTTGGGACACCTCCTCAGTCATTGAACATTATGTTATGATAGCAAATTGATCTGAATTGTACTACTTGATTGATGGAGCCTTTTATGCCATTTAGAAGACACTTTATCCCAAGCCACTGATAGTAGTGGATGCATACTTTTTCATGTGGGTGGCCCCAGAGGGAATCGAACCCGCAGCCCTGGTGTTCCATGCACCATGCTCTACCAACTGAGCCACACAGGACCACATTAAACTTCAGCCCTGTATTTACTGTCATCATTACCATGCTCTTCTCATGTCTGTGTTTCAGCCCAGCCCTGCACTGAAAGAATCTATGAGCGTCAGCGAACACGAGGTAGTGTCTGGCTCCTTCTGCATGGCAGCCGTCCCCCTGCTGGCATTATCGAAGAGGAGCCAGAGTCTCCAGCTATCCAATGGAGGAGAGACGAGAGAGAGCGACAGCGGCAGCGAGCGCAGGAGCACCTTGGACTCCCCTAGTTTACGAGCCCAGCTTTCTCACATCTCCAGTATCCCGCAAATCATCATCAGCCCAACGTCAGAGAGCAGCCTAACGTCGGATGACAACCTGTTCTTAGAGGAGAAGCAGGGAGCCATGATGAGTCACGAGGCGGGCGAACTGCTGGTGGGCCTTCGGAGCTTGAACTGTTCCTCAGGGCTACTGGAGTCAGTGGAAAGATTCCTCTCCTGAGTTCACCTACAAACTCTCAACTCTTTGTCTGTGTACCAAATGGCACCCTAAACCATTTGGAACTTTCTTTCCTTCTTATTCTACCCCCCAGTTGGACAACCGATCCATTCCACCCAGCTCCTTTTTTGAAACAGACTTTTAGAAGGAGACCAAGGCCTAGATCTGATTGTGCTTTAATGAACAGAAGGAAGAAAGAAACCCAGGAAGGGAGCAGCTGATTCTGGTGTGCTCTGGTCACAAAAAAGTGTTGCCGGGTAGAAGGGAATATTCGAAGCCAGCTGATTCATTCCCCAGCCACTGTGATTAACATCCCATTTTCTGCTGTTTGTTTACATGGCCCCCTTCATTCAGAGGAACTATGATTGGATAGTGGTTCCATAATGTATATTGACTTAGAAAGAAGGCCTTTATAGTAGCAAATAGAACTAACATCCTCATGCCAATGGACCAATGTTGGCAATGAGTGTTAATGAAATATGGACATTAAAGCCACAATCTGGAGTCTGTGTTTTAAAATAATAATACGCAGAATTTATAACGCACATTTCATTGAAAAACTATTTCAAATTGAGTGCATTAAAATAAATAAAAACAAGAGACATAGACAAAAAAGGACACAGCTAGACACAAAGAACAAAGCTCACGCTACAAAGGGCCAGGACAACAAGGAACACAGCTATATCTAAAGAGGAGGGTTTTTAGACCATTTTTAAAGGAGCATTCCAGAGGGAGGGGTAGCTAAATGTGACCACTCCCAAATTCATGGAGCTATGGACTGACAATCCATGAGATCGACATGATGGGTTTAAATATATTTTGAAGCTATACATTGTTACAAACAAATGCTCAAATGGAACCAAAAAACCTGAACAATGGGGTAATTTTACTTTAGATTTGGGTTAGGATAGGTGAGGACAGCTGTAGTGAGCTCACAAAAATATATTGATTAAGAAAGCTCACAAAAGTTGTATTCTTCAATTATCAACGGGCATAGTTCATTGAAATGACTATTGAACAGTAAGAAATGTATTACAGATTGTGCCTTTAATGGACATTCCAGAATTTTGACACTTGGAAAAGAACACACACAACAAAATAATTCTGGTCAAACTTCTTCCCTGTATCTGTTTGGCTATGGAATCTTATGTGCCCTTTGCATTGAATTTGACCACAGCTTGCTTTATGACACGGGCAGTGATGTAATCATCAATCCTGACTCCTGTTTATTTAAATACATTTTTGTTAAATTTTCACTTATTGTACATGTTGTTGTCACTATCGTCCATTTTGTTCATGTGGTTATGTTTCTTGACAATATCGTTGGATCATTTTTATTTGTTTGCTTTGAGACTTGTCTGCCCCACTAATGTTGCTAGTCATCCCTTTTAAGTTTTTTTGTGAAATGAAAAAAACAACAACAACAACATTGTATTCTGCCCTACCAAGCAAAAAGGCAGGAACTGCTCATAGCGTGGAACTGAGAAAAATGGCTTTTATTTACCTTGGTTTCACAGTAACCTTATGCAGTTACTGCTAACATGACCCCCATTTTCTCCAAAACACAATACAACAGAGGCAGGATACTTGTCCACGTGATTAAGCAGGTATTTCATGTAGCAAAAATGGCATTAACTCATTTTCGACCAAATGAGCAGTTACTGCCTTTTTGCTTGGTAGAGCGCTATGGGCCTTGGTGAAAAGTAATGCACTACATAGAGAAGAGGGTGACATTTGGGACACAGAAGAGGGTGACTGTCACGGTCGTCTATGTCGTCTAAGTATGACCAAGGCGCAGCGTGTCCAAGAAACATGACTTTATTACTTAAAGGTTATAGAACTACAAAACAAAAAGACGACTCAATGAAGTCCACGGTACACTGACCGAAACGGAACAAAAACCCACAACACCCAAAGGAAAACATACAGATAAATATGGCTCCCAATCAGAGATAACGAGCCGACAGCTGACACTCGTTACCTCCGATTGGGAGTCATTGACCAAACCTAGAAATGAACCCCACAGAAATGCAAACATAGAAATACACCCAAATACCCAACATAACCAAACCAAAACCCAACAAAACAAAATACACCCTGGCTCAAATACAAACGTCCCGGAGCCAGAGTGTCACAGTACCCCCCCCTAAAGGTGCGAACTCCGGGCGCACCAGCATACAGTCTAGGGGAGGGTCTGGGTGGGCGTCTGTCCACGGTGGCGGTTCTGGCCCTGGTCGTGGTCCCCACCCCACCTTAGTCACTATCCGCTTCCGTAGCCTCCTCCACATGACCACCCCCCAACTAAACCCCACTGGATTAAGGGGCGGCACCGGACTAAAGGGCAGCACCGGACTAAGGGGCAGCACCGGACTAAGGGGCAGTACCGGACTAAGGGGCAGCACCAGGATAAGGGGCAGCACCGGGCTAAGGGACAGCACCGGACTCAATGGCGGATCCTGGCTGGCTGGCTCTGGCGGGTCCTGGCTGGACGGCTCTGGCGGATCCTGGCTGGACGGCTCATGGCTGGCTGAAGGATCTGGCTGCTCATGGCTGGCTGACGGATCTGGCTGCTCATGGCTGGCTGACGGATCTGGCTGCTCATGGCTGGCCGACGGATCTGGCTGCTCATGGCTGGCCGACGGATCTGGCTGCTCATGGCTGGCTGAAGGATCTGGCTGCTCATGGCTGGCTGACGGATCTGGCTGCTCATGGCCGGCTGACGGATCTGGCTGCTCATGGCTGGCGGAAGGCTCTGACTGATCCTGTCTGGCGGAAGGCTCTGGCTGATCCTGTCTGGCGGAAGGCTCTAGCGGCTCCGGTCTGGCGGACGGCTCTGAAGGCTCATGGCAGACGGGCGGCTTTGCAGGCTCAGTCCAGACGGCCAGTTCAAGCGCCTTTGGGCAGACGGGCAGTTCAGGCCCCGTTGGGCAGACGGCAGACTCTGGCCGTCTGAGGCGCACCGTAGGCCTGGTGCGTGGTGCCGGAACTGGAGGTACCGGGCTGAGGACACGCATCTCAGGGCTAGTGCGGGGAGAAGCAACAGGGCATGCTGGACCCTGGGAACGCACATAAAGCCTAGTGCGGGGAGAAGGAACAGGGCATGCTGGACCCTGGGGACGCACATAAGGCCTAGTGCGGAGAGCAGCAACAGGACGCACAGGACTCGGGGAACACACAGGAGGCTTGGTGCGTGGTGTAGGCACTGGTGGTACTGAGCTGGAGCGGGGAGGTGGCGCCGGAAATACCGGACCGTGCAGGCTTACTGGCCCCCTTGAGCACTGAGCCTGCCCAACCTTACCCGGGTTGATGCTCCCCGTCGCCCGACCAGTACGGGGAGGTGGAATAACCCGCACCGGCCTATGTGGGCGAACCGGGAACACCATGCGTAAGGCTGGTGCCATGTACGCCGGCCCGAGAAGACGCACTGGTAGCCGGATGCGTTGGGCCGGCTTCATGACATCTGGCTCAACGCTCACTCTAACCCGGTCGATACGTGGAGCTGGAATGTACCGAACCGGGCTATGCCTGCGTACAGGAGACACCATGCGCTCTACTGCGTAACACGGTGTCTGCCCGTACTCTCGCTCTCCACGGTAAGTCCAGGGAGTAGGCGCAGGTCTCCTACCTGACTTCGCCACACTCCCTTTAAGCCCCCCCCCAAGAAATTTTTGGGTAGTACCCACGGGCTTCCAGCCTTGACTCCGTGCTGCCTCCTCATACCGCCTCCTCTCGGCTTTAGCTGCCTCCAGCTCTTCACGAGGGCGGCGATATTCTCCCGGTTGTGCCCAAGGACCCTTTCCAGCCAGTATCTCCCCCCATGTCCATGAATCCTTAGGAGCAGGGTCCTGTTGCCGCTTGACACGCTGCTTGGTCCTATGATGGTGGGTTTTTCTGTCACGGTCGTCTATGTCGTCTAAGTATGACCAAGGCACAGCGTGTCCAAGAAACATGACTTTATTACTTAAAGGTTATAGAACTACAAAACAAAAAGACGACTCAATGAAGTCCACGGTACACTGACCGAAACGGAACAAAAACCCACAACACCCAAAGGAAAACATACAGATAAATATGGCTCCCAATCAGAGATAACGAGCCGACAGCTGACACTCATTACCTCCGATTGGGAGTCATTGACCAAACCTAGAAATGAACCCCACAGAAATGCAAACATAGAAATACACCCAAATACCCAACATAACCAAACCAAAACCCAACAAAACAAAATACACCCTGGCTCAAATACAAACGTCCCGGAGCCAGAGTGTCACAGTGACATTTGCTTGGTAGGGCAGTATTGCTATTACGTATTAATAATAGCTCTAACCCAATTGATATCTGAAAGAATACAAAGAGGAAAATGATGAGCACTGAATTTAGAAATATAGAAAATGTAACAAAAAATATCATGGTTCAGTGCTGTCCTGGAAATCTGACAAATCTGACAAAATGTGCCGTCATCACTGATTAATTGACTTGACTAGATTCTGGACACCTAACCCTAACCGAAGCGTCATCTTTGGATAGCTCCCAAGTCAACAATGCTTTGGTTATGTTTATGTGTTGATGGGGATTGAGTTGGTTAAGCCAACCCTCACTTGCCAATGACCTGAATCTCAACCTATTTAATCTTTCCAGATAAGAGGCCTCAGACAGCCTGCTGTTCCCCACGCTTCAATGCACCATAATGCCCTCCTCTCCGAACACACGCACGCACTCACATCCACACACTCACATGCACACACACACACACACACACACACACACACACTTTCAAGTGAACATCTTTTTTACCTAAATTGGAGAGAAACTCAAATCACCAGTCATTGCAGTCAAAATTCAGTTTATCCTGTGTTTTGTATCATAGTGTACAGTCGTGGTCAAAAGTTGAGAATGACACAAGTATTGGTCTTCACAAAGTTCACTGCTTCAGTGGTATGAGATGTTTTTGTCAGATGTTACTATGGTATACTGAAGTATAATTACAAGCATTCCATAAGTGTCAAAGGCTTTTATTGACAATTACATTACGTTTATGCAAAGAGTCAATATTTGCAGTGTTGACCCTTCTTTTTCAAGACCTCTGCAATCCACCCTGGCATGCTGTCAATTAACTTATGGGCCTCATCCTGACTGATGGCAGCCCATTCTTGCATAATCAATGCTTGGAGTTTGTCAGAATTTGTGGGTTTTTGTTTGTCCACCCGCCTCTTGAGGATCGACCACAAATTCTCAATGGGATTAAGGTCTGGGGAGTTTCCTGGCCATGGACCCAATGTTGATGTTTTGTTCCCCGAGCCACTTAGTTATCACTTTTGCCTTATGGCAAGGTGCTCCATCATGC